TTATTCAGCAGACATTGACAGAATAAATCTTTCTATACAGTATAATAACAAACGCTTTTGTGTAATGTAAATTAATATGATATATTGTTGGTTTCTTTGTAGTTAGATGCAGGTTTGACGTAAGGTGTTTTGGTTACGTTGATTTGGGGAATGTTTACAGGCTGAAGGTGAAAGCAGCACATGGAGCCTCGAATATGTCTAGGTGGATTATAAATCCAAATTCTGACTTGTAGAGTCTTTCTATTCGGTATTTGACCTACTCGTTTTGAACCTCACAACTTTGTCTTGACTTGATGATAATCTCTTTTTAGCCAACTCATTTTACCTAAATTCACAGAAAATTATATATGAGAAAAAAAAAAATTCTGTATGGAGGTGTCATCCTCTGTTGGTTCTTCTTACAATTAATATTGAATTAATAAAATTAACGCATGACTGAGTTTTGCCTTATATCGTGGGCTGGAAAATGAGCTGAGATCTACATCGTGGCAGGTGTTCATGCAATTTACCTGTAGCTGGTTTCGAGAGTTTCTCTTCCCTATCAACGTGATTTATAATTAGTCTTAGTTTTTTATTGATTTTACCGTGTCCATCACTATCATATCTCTCACTCTACCCTAATCAACACATTTGATACTTGCTAATGTCCTTCAAGAACTTGACCGTGCTGATTGCGAGATTGACCTGATCCGTGGATTATATGCTTTATTGTAAACACAGAATGTATCCAGCTGCTAAATTGTTTAAGTTCGTGCATTTGTTGTGGTAACTTTGTACATAATCACGATGTTCTTTAATTTGTTAGCGTTGCCAATGTTTCCATAACGTTAGAAAAGACTAAGTGGTTACGTTTTTTGTTTGCCGAGGAATTATATATCTTGAGTTATCTTGAGATGATTTCGGGGCTTTAGTGTCCCCGCGGCCCGGTCCTCGACCAGGCCTCCACCCCCAGGAAGCAGCCCGTGACAGCTGACTAACACCCAGGTACCTATTTACTGCTAGGTAACAGGGGCATTCAGGGTGAAAGAAACTTTGCCCATTTGCTTCTGCCTGGTGCGGGAATCGAACCAGCGCCACAGAATTAAGAGTCCTGCGCGCTATCCACCAGGCTACGAGGCCCCCATGTGCAAGATCACACAACAGTGTTTTAACAGGAGGGAACACTTCTCCTCCAGTGCACAGTGTGACGGATAAATGACGAATAGAGCAGTGGCTATTTGGGCAGCTGGAATGCCACACACATTAAATAAAAAAAGTAAAAACAAAGTAAATAATACTGCTCTGGATCTCCTTATGGGGTGGTAACCGCAGGATAAAGTACAAAGAATGAAAAAACTTGTCATTTTTTGTTACATTAAAATATTTAACAATTTTACAAAAAAAAAAAATTCTCAATGACTTGGCTTAATAACAGTGCAAAAGTATAAAAACTGACAAGTGAACGTTACGTTAAGATAAAAATAAATGGTGCTGGAATACTATGTACATAGGCTGTGTAAATCTACCACCACCCAGGGGAGCGTGAAGCACATGTAGTAGCTTTGGAGCACTGAGAGTATTCTGATGTGTAATGGCTAATAGCTCCTATATATATATATATATATACACACCCCCAGCCACTTGGGCTGGACGGTAGAGCGACGGTCTCGCTTCATGCAGGTCGGCGTTCAATCCCCGACCGTCCAAGTGGTTGGGCACCGTTCCTTCCGCCCTTCCCATCCCTAATCCTTATCCTGATCCCTTCCAAGTGCTATATAGTCGTAATGACTTGGCGCTTTCCCCCTGATAGTTCCCTTTCCTTCCTATATATACACGGGTGAGGCCGTGTAGATGGCGTTGGTGTGCAAATAATTGGAAGCCGGCAGACGCCAACGAGCAATGTGCTTGTTGACCAGCGAGTGAGGTGACTCCCAGACGCCAGGTGCGCTGGCATGACGGGTACTGGAGGAGCTAGGGTGGTAGAGGCTCCAATCTAGACAAGGCTCCTGAGAACATGTTGTTGAATATGCAGACTAGTTGTTGAAAAGGAGATGAAGGAATAGGCCCAATCTCCTTTCCTAAGGAGATTCTTGTGGCAACCGTCACTGAAGTAGTAATAATATGCTTATATGTTCTTATTAAACAATTGCTTAGAAGATTTCAGTGTTCCCGTGTCGTTTTGCACGAGATAATCTCTGCTGTAGTTGCGTGTTTCACCCCAAGCCTTGCAAGATGATTGTTCAAGCCATCCTAAATATGTTCTTGCATTTTCATATTAAATCAACGTTCGAAGAATCAGGACTTATTTTAGGGTACATGAGCATAACGATGATGTATTTCACAAATTTGTAAAGGAATTGTGGTAGTTGAATCATGTTGTGGGTTGCGCACGTGAACTATACCATCGATCTTTTGGTACTGTGGTTGTCATTTGGCTTATTGAAAGTGCATTCATTCTGTCGTGTTCAGACTTTGGTTAACACGTGATCATCGGTACTCGATGATGCTTCAAAATCGCACGTTACGGAGCTTCGCTATCAATCACCACAATCATTGAGCAGTTGATTGGATGTGGGGCTCTGAAACCCTACTTCAGACTACGTTTCGGGTTTATCATACGAAATCGATTATATATATATATATATATATATATATATATATATATATATATATATATATATATATATATATATATATATATATATATATATATATATATATAAATGAAACGAGAGGTAGTGTCTCCAATCCGGAATACTATTACTCTGTATAGCACCATAGGGTAAAAATATATTAACTCGGTCTATAACGGTGTGGGTGGGCAGGAAATGGGGTGACAGGATGTTAAATTGTTTCCCAGGGTGACAGGCGGCCGTGGGAGGGCGGCATAACTGTCCCTCAACGAACCCAACAAAAAACTCGTCAATTAACGCGACCAAAGTTATTACATTTTTATATTTTATTTTTATATTTTTGTGTGACCTCGTTCATATAAAGAGAATTAGGAGGTAAAAATAAATATTTTTTGCTCCGTCGAATACAATAACACCTCAGATGAAGCCATTTGTATCGTTTAGATTCCGTTTCATTACAGGGAAATGCGTTTTTACTTTGAGTAAAGCAAATATGCTTATTATACTAATGAAAACGTAAATTTTTCGTTAGTTATATAGTAATTGTAAATATTAGTGAAATTACAATAAGTCAACTTCTTGTAGTTGATCTCAGGACTTAATATGTGGAAATAAACGGTACAGTCACAGATTTTACTTGTAAATAGTGATAATTCGGATAGACCATCTTAACAACTGTCTTGCTCAGTTCTCTCAAGATGTATGTAGCACGTTAAGGTATACATATTCATGCAGCCATCTTAAGTAATGACATGACGTCAGCTTCGTACTGGATTATGTTGACCAGACCACACACTAGTCACAGACCATTCTCGACTTGAGAATGGTCCAGGACGGACCGAAAGATCGTCGTCCCTTCACCTACTAGTGTGTGGTCTGGTCAACATACTTCAGCCACGTTATTGTGACTCATCGCCTGCATAGTACTGGATTAGGCAATGAGACTACACGAGTTTACCTTGGTGTGTGATGCACGGCCAAAAGTTCTCTCTTACAGCAATTTCCTGTATCGTCGTCTGCAGCGATTTTCTTGAATCTACAACACTCCGAATATGTAAATTATATCCGCAAGTACGGGTACGAGTCATATTGTACATATGAAGCTTCGCACACTGAAGCCTAATTAACCCAACCCAATCGAGTTTATCTCAAATTTACCAAAGGTAATACAGCCTAGCGTAATTATTTACATGGTTTTTGACAATGGGAAAACGAGCTGTGTCGAACCGTCTTGCGTATGATAAGATAATTCCCCATGAAATTAGATCATATTTCTAATTGAGGAATTAGCCTCCTTAACTCATCTCTGAGAGTCTTTAGGTAGTCGAGTGCTGCTGGATTCAGCACAGTCTCACTTCTTATACTTTGCGTTATTGGGAAGTCTTCCTGGAATCTCCAGGTCTCTACACACTATTTTTAAATGTGAACGTTTACCCCCAATATTCTCGGTGTTTGCGCATTAGCGCACGTGTTTGCGTTCTCGTGCATCTGTAATGCGAGCTCTTCTGGTCATTGTTGATGTATTCATTATATTTTTTCTGACTTTGTTGGTTTGTTAATATACAATTCGACTCGAGTTTTGCCAAAATGAGATCCTGACGCAATTCTGCAAACGCAAACCGCTCTGTTTAGATGAATCAAAACCAACTGGATTGGTTTAGTCTGATATTGCGCTGACCAGACAACACACTAGAAGGTGAAGGGACGACGACGCTTCGGTCCGTCCTGAACCATTCTCAAGTCGATTGTCGATAAACCACGTTATTGTGACTCATCGCCTGCTGATATTGCGCCATAGACATTCCAATATGTTATATTTAACTGCTGGAGTCTCCGTGTTGAAATAAACCTGTTGATCATATGTAAATGTATAAGTAGATAAATTTGAATAACACAAACTGTGCTGTTGACTGGTGCTCGAGGTATATCTAGGAGGAATTATCCTGCATACTGCTCGTCTTGAAGCATGGCTAGCAAAATATGTACTTTTCTGATTAGCAAATTTGGTACTTTGGATTAAGTTGCCAGGTAAAATACGCTCTTGGGTTGTTGTCTGGATAAGAGATTTTAGTGTGCTTAATTGTTTAGTATGATGGGTTTCTTTAGGGCGACGCCGGTCTCGTTAGGGCTGCGCAGGCCCCTTTGGGGAGACGCCAGCCCCTTTGGGGAGACGCCAGCCCCTTTGGGGAGACGCCAGCCCCTTTGGGGAGACGCCAACCCCTTTGGGGAGGCTCAAGTTATATTGAAATAGCGAACTATACTGATTTAGTCATGATACGTGATTTACAATGACTTGCCGTTCACGCGAACCTTTCTTCTCTGCGTTCTATTGGTGGTTTAACGAACACGTGTCAGACCTGGTGACCATGATCTCTAAATGCTTGATTTTCATTTTGTTCTTTTGGAGGTGGGAGGTGTTTTGTTCTTTTGGAGGTGGGATGTGTTTTGTTCTTTTGGAGGTGGGATGTGTTTTGTTCTTTTGGAGGTGGGATGTGTTTTGTTCTTTTGGAGGTGGGAGGTGTTTTGTTCTTTTGGAGGTGGGATGTGTTTTGTTCTTTTGGAGGTGGGATGTGTTTTGTTCTTTTGGAGGTGGGAGGTGTTTTGTTCTTTTGGAGGTGGGATGTGTTTTGTTCTTTTGGAGGTGGGATGTGTTTTGTTCTTTTGGAGGTGGGATGTGTTTTGTTCTTTTGGAGGTGGGATGTGTTTTGTTCTTTTGGAGGTGGGATGTGTTTTGTTCTTTTGGAGGTGGGAGGTGTTTTGTTCTTTTGGAGGTGGGAGGTGTTTTGTTCTTTCTGGAGGTGGGAGGTGTTTTGTTCTTTTTGAGGTGGGAGGTGTTTTGTTCTTTTTGAGGTGGGAGGTGTTTTGTTCTTTTGGAGGTGGGAGGTGTTTTGTTCTTTTGGAGGTGGGAGGTGTTTTGTTCTTTTGGAGGTGGGAGGTGTTTTGTTCTTTTGGAGGTGGGAGGTGTTTTGTTCTTTTGGAGGTGGGAGGTGTTTTGTTCTTTCTGGAGGTGGGAGGTGTTTTGTTCTTTCTGGAGGTGGGAGGTGTTTTGTTCTTTCTGGAGGTGGGAGGTGTTTTGTTCGTTCTGGAGGTGGGAGGTGTTTTGTTCTTTCTGGAGGTGGGAGGTGTTTTGTTCTTTTGGAGGTGGGAGGTGTTTTGTTCTTTTGGAGGTGGGAGGTGTTTTGTTCTTTTGGAGGTGGGAGGTGTTTTGTTCTTTTGGTGGTGGGAGGTGTTTTGTTCTTTTGGAGGTGGGAGGTGTTTTGTTCTTTTGGAGGTGGGAGGTGTTTTGTTCTTTTGGAGGTGGGAGGTGTTTTGTTCTTTCTGGAGGTGGGAGGTGTTTTGTTCTTTCTGGAGGTGGGAGGTGTTTTGTTCTTTCTGGAGGTGGGAGGTGTTTTGTTCTTTCTGGAGGTGGGAGGTGTTTTGTTCTTTCTGGAGGTGGGAGGTGTTTTGTTCTTTCTGGAGGTGGGAGGTGTTTTGTTCTTTCTGGAGGTGGGAGGTGTTTTGTTCTTTTGGAGGTGGGAGGTGTTTTGTTCTTTTGGAGGTGGGAGGTGTTTTGTTCTTTTGGAGGTGGGAGGTGTTTTGTTCTTTCTGGAGGTGGGAGGTGTTTTGTTCTTTCTGGAGGTGGGAGGTGTTTTGTTCTTTTGGAGGTGGGAGGTGTTTTGTTCTTTTGGAGGTGGGAGGTGTTTTGTTCTTTTGGAGGTGGGAGGTGTTTTGTTCTTTCTGGAGGTGGGAGGTGTTTTGTTCTTTCTGGAGGTGGGAGGTGTTTTGTTCTTTCTGGAGGTGGGAGGTGTTTTGTTCTTTCTGGAGGTGGGAGGTGTTTTGTTCTTTCTGGAGGTGGGAGGTGTTTTGTTCTTTCTGGAGGTGGGAGGTGTTTTGTTCTTTTGGAGGTGGGATGTGTTTTGTTCTTTTGGAGGTGGGATGTGTTTTGTTCTTTTGGAGGTGGGATGTGTTTTGTTCTTTTGGAGGTGGGATGTGTTTTGTTCTTTTGGAGGTGGGATGTGTGTTGTTCTTTTGGAGGTGGGATGTGTTTTGTTCTTTTGGAGGTGGGATGTGTTTTGTTCTTTTGGTGGTGGGAGGTGTTTTGTTCTTTTGGTGGTGGGAGGTGTTTTGTTCTTTTGGGGCCAGATTCACGAAGCAGTTTCGCAAGCACATGCAAACCAGTTCATCTTTTCTCAATCTTCGGAGGCTTTGTTTACAATTATTAAACAGTTAATGAGCTCCGAAGTACCAGGAAGCTGTTTATAACAATAAAAATAGTTGATTGGGAAGTGTTCATGCTAGTAAACTGTTAAATAATGTAACCAAAGCCGTCAAAGAGTGAGGAAAGATGTACACTTTCGTAAGTACTTGCGTAACTGCTTCGTGAATCTGGCCCCCTAGTTATATGTGCTTCAGCCTACAGTTTAGACCTATTGTCTTATGTATGACCCTCTGTCCTGCGTGACAGTGAATACTAGCATTAACCTCAATTTAATAAGACTATCAAAATCCTCAGATTAGGCAAAATTGTAATTAATTTTGTCAATAAAGATGTTAATAATAATAAAGTTAGGGAACGTTTCTGTTGTGAACGCGTGTGAAATATATCGACAAAGATCGTCACCTCGGGTCGTGATCAGCCTTTAATCCCAGGCTTCAGTGACTGCGGTATAGAGAAAAGACGAAAGCCCGTCATCACATCATCAGTTCTCGGTATATATATAATGCAATATGTTTTTAAGCGTGTGAAAATATTATCCCAGCGCTTCGATATTCATCACGTTATCTGATGGAGGTGTTGAAAGACTGCGCTCGAACATACGTTCTTCAGTTACTCATTGTATAGATTCATGTTACTGGGGACAACGAAGGACGTTGTCCCCGGTCGGCCGAGCGGACACCACGCTGGACTTGTGATCCTGTGGTCCCGGGTTCGATCCCGGGCGCCGGCGAGAAACAATGGGCAGAGTTTCTTTCACCCTATGCCCCTGTTACCTAGCAGTAATATAGGTACCTGGGTGTTAGTCAGGTGTCACGGGCTGCTTCCTGGGGGTGGAGGCCTGGTCGAGGACCGGGCCGTGAGGACACTAAAGCCCCGAAATCATCTCAAGATAACCGTCCCAAGACACAATCCACAACAGTTGCCAAACTCTCAGGTACCTGTGTAGTGCTAGGAAACTTGCCCAGGCGTGCCCAGTTCTGCAAGGCACTCAAACTTGAGGTCTGTTGTGATCATTATTATCATCAACTAGTACAGGAATTCCCCGAACAACCCCTTTCCATATCTCCCTGCTCCACTCATCCTGAGTGTACTGACCGAGCGCCTCAAGTCGTCCGTATCTAAGAGATAAGCTTTTATCTCGTCAGATACTACGCCCACCTTGAGACCTGCCTTCACTCCAAGCACATACAGACAACTAACATTTTTGTGAACTTGTGTCATTTCCCCATATCTTTAACCCGTTTCTCTTCATCCCCTTCCCCTCTCTAATTGACCATTTATCTGGCTTTGGGTTTTTAGGTTTATAATTAAAAGTCTTCGTTTAATTATTAAAACCATTGTAATACTAGATCATCGCATTTTTATGTCTGGTAACTGATATGGCTTGATCAACTCTCAGTGTGTCATTATCTTCCCTACCATTTCCTCCCTCTCTCTCTCTCCCTCACAAAAATCTCGCCTAAGCCAGTTTTATTCATCTCTCCCTCGTCCCCTAGTTCTTGTTATTATTAAGTTTGTCTCTCTCTCTTCCTGTTTATCCGTGTATTTTTTTGTCTGTCCTTCTCTTGCTTTCTTCCCAATCAGCACAGATTGATCCTCCCCCTTAGTGACAAGCATCATGTCTCAACAGCATTTTTGAGACGAGAGAGACAATGTGACCTGATTTATCTCCCAGTAAGTGTTATCAGTGAGAAAAATTAAGACTCTCAAGCGACAACAGCTTTCCTATTTTTTAAAAAATAACACAATGAAAAATCTCTCTATTTTCATTGTGATCTATGAATCTAGATATGTAAGTCCTAGAAAAGGGCATAATAAGGGTTAGAGCATCTTGAAGATGTTCCTTTGTAACGCTTGAGTTAGACCAGGAGGTTTGTCCTGTGGTTTAAAGTGTTTCCCCCAAGAACATATACACACACCGCAGTATGTTAATCAGTAGTTAAGGGAAAATTTCAAGAACAGGAATACATACCTTGCGGTTACCTTGTGTTCATTCCGGGGGTCAAGGTCCCCGCGACCCGGTCTCTGACCAGGTCTGGTCAACCAGGCGGTAGGACGCGGTTGCTGTCAATCACAGCCTGGTTGATCAAGTATCCTTTGGAGGTGTTTATCGAGTTGTCTCTTGAACACTGTAAAAGTCGGCCATTTAAACCCTTTAACTTTAAAAAGTAAGATTAATAATTCTAACACGAATTTGCTCTTATGTTTCTTTTTACTGTCGATGGTAATTGAAAAATCAATTCTCCAAAATTCATTTTTATTTCTAGTCTGACGCGACGCCTGAACGCGTTTCGTAGTAACTTATTACATTTTCAAAGACTTTAGTTTACACACAAACAACTGCAACCTGTAAACACGCCATTTGCTTCCATATTTATACTGGCATTTGGATGAGGTGAACAAACTTGACAAACACAAGGCAGAACACGGAACAATGGGGTATTAATTGGATATATGAGAGCATAGGAATGGAAGTAACTGCAAAGGGCCTATTGGCCCATACTTCCTCTTGATGCTTCTATAATGGTACGGAGTCTTGAAGTGGGTAGAATATAGTTGTGTATTAATTGGCTGTTGATTGCTGGTGTTGACGTTTTGATGTGTAGTGCCTCGCAGATGTCGAGCCGCCTGCTATCACTGTATCTATCGATGATTTCTGTGTTGTTTGTTAAGACTTCTCTGGTGATGGTCTGGTTGTGGGACGAGATTATATGTTCCTTAATGGAGCCCTGTTGCTTATGCATTGTTAATCGCCTGGAAAGAGATGGTGTTGTCTTGCCTATATACGGAGTTCTTTGGGGCTTACAGTCCCCAAGTGGGCAATGGAAAGCATAGACGACGTTGGTCTCCTTTAAGGCGTTCTGCTTTGTGTCTGGAGAGTTTTTTATGAGTAGGCTGGCCGTTTTCTTGGTTTTATAGTAAATCGTCAATTGTATCTCCTGATTTTTGTCTGAAGGGATAACGTTCCTATTAACAATATCTTTCAGGACCCTTCCTAAATGTTCCTTCATTGGTTTACATTTCCTAAAATGAAATATTAATTTACGTGTTTAAGCTGTACTTCCAAACTAAGTCTCTCTCCGACATATCTCTATATATTTCCGACACTTAACGCATTCAAATCATATTAAAGAGCTCGACAAAACACCTTGAATATTCACCCATACAAACGTCTGCATATATTCAGGGAATATTTTATACTTGCTATAAAAAAAATATTTACCAACTAAGGTCCATAAACTCACTAAGTAATAAAGCTAGATAATGAACAAAGAAAATCGATTTAATCTGTTCGATAAATAAACCAATCTCCAATCGCAGCTCAATATAATAAACAAGCTTATAGAGATTGTCCCGTTCAAAGATTAAACTCATAATCCCAGTCACGGAAACCCTAAAAACTATTTTCTACCAGGTGAATAGATGCATCAGGGGTAAAGAAACGTGCTAAGACGTCTTATCCTGCCCCGGAATGGATCGCGGATCCAGTCGATTACTCCTATCACGTTCAATGAGATAAATTTGTTTACTCTGAGATGTTTAAACTCTACCTCGTGAGTAGGATATCAGAAGAAAAATAGCAAAAGTTTGCCTTCAACTAGAGATTTTGTACTCTCCGTGTGTTCCGTTTGATCACTTGACTTATAATTTAATAATTAACTTAGTATAATTAAGTAGCTTGTCTCTTCTTCGCTGCGTCTTAACGATAATCGTTAAATCACGATATTGACATTCACTCATGTCCAATTTTACTAACATATTATTAAGCAATAAGAGGACAATTTAGTTTAGTTGAGGGTATCTAGTTAGTTTTATTTCAAAATTTGCAAAATGCATATAAATAATAAGTGCATAAAAAAGTTACCGAAGCATATATTTCTAGAAGTTCTGCTAGTTGAGCTACTCGGTATAAAAAAATCCAATTATGATGTGAAAAATGAACAATTTTACATGTCATGGCAGGGAGAAAAACAGTGTAACTGCCATAAAATTAATTATGTAATTTTTAATTAGTTCTTTAATTGGGAGGAGGCAGGAAGCCTGTTTATATATGCTTCAAGCTTGTACCGAGGACCCCCAAGGTCGAACAACTGCCCTTCCCCAGGTTGCAGCCCATCAACAGTTGTCTAACTCCCGTTAGTTTACGGCTAGGTGAGTAGTTTCTAATTAAATCAAGCAAAAATACAAACTAAAATTCGCTAGGCCTAGTCTAGCACGTGTACAATATTAGGCCTAAGACAGGGTGTATAAGGCCTACGACTGCTAGAAAAGGTTAGGTTACGGTCTATATGTTGAGGTTATAAAAGTTTCGTATTTGGCCAAATTCAGTGACATAAAATGTTAGGATCCTATGGTCAGTCGGGTCCTCAATGAGGAATTTGGAACAGCCAGTAGAAAATCCCCAGCATAGGGGGCTCATACTTATCAGCTGCTGCCTCCAGCATTGGATACAGCAGCTGGTAAACAGCAACAGCAGCAAGATTTTTAGTCATTTGCGTAGTGAAGAACATTGCCTCAGCAATGTTCTTCACTGTGCAAATGACTGCAGACAGGCGCAGCGGCCTGTTTGACGTTGTTACAAGTTACTTGGTGTAAAGAGCCTGTAAGAATATCCCACTGACTGACTGGCACTTTCCTTTAATTTAGCATCATGGACCCCAACGGAGAACCTTAAGTATTCTGGTAGGATCTTGTTCACAGTCACTCTTAACACTGGTCGAGGATAGAAATGCTGGGAATGCAATCTTTGCTGCCTTGCATAATCCCATAATACCACAGTGTGACTAGGAGCGTTGCTGGGACTCCCTGGAACATTGGCTATGTTCCAGGGAGAGTTTTAACACGTTGATAGATATTGCTTATACGAGTTTGTCGTGCTGTTAATTTCCATGTTTACATTTTTGAGAATTTAATTAATCAACAAACCAGTCAAAAAAAAATACTTTACCATGAAACTCGTTGTCACTTTAATTTTTAGTTTCACATTCTCCCTTCACGCTGCCTTCCCCCCCCCCCTTCACGCTGCCTTCCCTCCCCCCCTTCACGCTGCCTTCCCTCCCCCCCTTCACGCTGCCTTCCCCCCCCCCTTCTCCCTTCACGCTGCCTTCCCCCCCCCTTCTCCCTTCACGCTGCCGCCGCCCTCCCCCCCTCTCCCTTCACGCTGCCGCCGCCCTCCCCCTCTCCCTTCACGCTGCCGCCGCCCTCCCCCCTCTCCCTTCACGCTGCCGCCGCCCTCCCCCCTCTCCCTTCACGCTGCCGCCGCCCTCCCCCCTCTCCCTTCACGCTGCCGCCGCCCTCCCCCCTCTCCCTTCACGCTGCCGCCGCCCTCCCCCCTCTCCCTTCACGCTGCCGCCGCCCTCCCCCCTCTCCCTTCACGCTGCCGCCGCCCTCCCCCCTCTCCCTTCACGCTGCCGCCGCCCTCCCCCCTCTCCCTTCACGCTGCCGCCGCCCTCCCCCCTCTCCCTTCACGCTGCCGCCGCCCTCCCCCCTCTCCCTTCACGCTGCCGCCGCCCTCCCCCCTCTCCCTTCACGCTGCCGCCGCCCTCCCCCCTCTCCCTTCACGCTGCCGCCGCCCTCCCCCCTCTCCCTTCCCGCTGCCGCCGCCCTCTCCCCTCCCCCTTCACGCTGCCGCCGCCCTCCCCCCTCGCCCTTCACGCTGCCGCCGCCGCCCCCCCCCCTCTCCCCGCTGCCGCCGCCGCCGCCCCCCGCTCTTCCTTCACGCTGCCTCCGCCGCCCCCCTCGCTCTCCCTTCACGCTGGCCTCCGCCGCCCCCCTCGCTCTCCCATCACGCTGGCCTCCGCCGCCCCCCTCGCTCTCCCTTCACGCTGGCCTCCGCCGCCCCCCTCGCTCTCCCTTCACGCTGGCCTCCGCCGCCCCCCTCCCTCTCCCTTCACGCTGGCCTCCGCCGCCCCCCTCCCTCTCCCTTCACGCTGGCCTCCGCCGCCCCCCTCCCTCTCCCTTCACGCTGGCCTCCGCCGCCCCCCTCCCTCTCCCTTCACGCTGGCCTCCGCCGCCCCCCTCCCTCTCCCTTCACGCTGGCCTCCGCCGCCCCCCTCCCTCTCCCTTCACGCTGGCCTCCGCCGCCCCCCTCCCTCTCCCTTCACGCTGGCCTCCGCCGCCCCCCTCCCTCTCCCTTCACGCTGGCCTCCGCCGCCCCCCTCCCTCTCCCTTCACGCTGGCCTCCGCCGCCCCCCTCCCTCTCCCTTCACGCTGATTCCCCCCTCTGTCACCCTTTATTCACCCTGTCTCTCACCCACTCTCTCATTTCATATTGGAAGTTTTTGCTTGGCTGAACCCACCGACTCCGGGATAAAGCCTCTCGAATTGCCTTAACGAATCTGGCTGGAATCGGCTTCAGACTGATTCAATTTTGCTCCCTGCGATTGAAAACAATTGAGTGAACTTTTAGCTTATTTCACTTTCTTGAGCATGGAGAAGGTATTTCTTAATTCTAGTGGTACTCTGTCTTTTTCTGTCTATCTCTGTCTCTCTCTCTCTCCGTCTGTCTCTTTCATTATCAACCTGGTTTAAATAATATTTTTCCATTCTCCTTCCATCTCTACCTAAATTATAACATTATTTCATATATAATTTAATATCTCCTGTTTACCCGTCAGAGAATTTCAAGGTAATGTAATAATTATCAGGAAAGCAGTAACCCATAACGACTATATAGCACTTGGACTAGATATGAGGATTTGGGATGGGACGGACGGAAGGAATACTGTCTAACCACTTGGACGATCAGGCGACGTCCAAATGAGTGGACGCCGACCTGTAAGAAGCGAGACCGTCGCTCTACCGTCCAGTCCAAGTGTCTGGATTAACGAGTTAACAAGAATTTGTTGCTTGTAAAAATACATTTTCCTAGACTTAACACACTGATTAGTTTACCTGAAGTCAACCTTGACTGACACACTAAAACACGATAGGGGAAGATAAAGATAGATCACGGGAGGAGATACAGCTTTCGGAATGGGGCTAGAATGGACCCCATAGGAAAAAAGGTAGAGCGAATATATAATTTTGTATTTGGCAGGAGACTATCAGGAGACAGCGCCAAACCATTGCGACTATATAACACATGGAAGGGGTCAGAATTAAGATTTGGGATGGGACGGGGGAGGAGGAATGGTGCCCAACCACTTGGACGGTTGGGAATTGAACGCCGACCTGCACGAGGCGAGACCGTCGCTCTACCGTCCAGCCCAAGTGGAATGAAGAATTGCATCTCTCTCTCTCTCGTGGCAACGTCAAGGTCAAGGCGGCGTTGATCGCTCTGAACAAGAGATAGTATTTTATCATCAACATCTTAGATAAATGTAATGTTCACTTCATCATGATGAGATGACGTACGGTAATTATATGAAGTCAAAGCTTCCGACGTTAATGACTTAATTGTAAGGACCTTAATGATGATAATTGTAAGGACAGTTTGACATAATTGTGACTAAATAGCTACGATCTGCCTAATTTCAGAGGACAACGTTGAATAGATTGCTTGTTAAGTTAAATGCACTTGGTTCATGCATCTGTTACCAGTCAAATCGTCCAATTATCCACCACGTCCTTGGGGTATGCTCGTCCAAGCTGTGTCCGACCAGAAACAAATAATAAATTTTAACGTACTGTATTCTGTAGGCAATTATTTGTATTTTTAGTACATGGGTACAGTAGTTACAGAGATTAGATGAGATCAGAAGACATCAGCAAATCAGTTTTTAATTAAATTTGGAACGTCATGAGAAGTTGTGTGAAATGTTTTTCATTTATAATTAATCACGGGGGTGTGACGGCTGAGTTACCAGGAATTTGGGTTGTGTTTACGCAACTCGTCCTCCCACAATGTTCATTCCATCCAGCGGCCGTGTGGATGAATGCAAAAATGGATGAATGAATGAAATCACACTTAAAGTTAACCATAACTGATTTCCACTCGATCTTTTCCCAAAAATGATTTCATTCATTATGGTGAAAACTCGCTCCTTTAATTGCTGCGGCCATATTTTGAAATTGCTAAATATTACCAAAGGGAACCAAAAAGCCTATTCTAACCATGCCTTAACTATGCACCAAATCGGCTTTAACCGACATGACAATAAGATAGGTGGAGTGTACATTCCTCATTCCCGTTTTGATCCTTACTGACAGTTATTATAGTGGTGACGGCTTCGTACTCTCCTGTCCACTAACCCGTCCTCGTCAGCACTGGCCAACGACACGCTAACCCAGCCAACAGATCTCGCGTTTATGAACGTAAATAATTTACAAGAGACTCGCAACAGATGACGTTCGAACTTTTATCGAACAGTTGTTCGCTTTTTTCCGATGGTTAATCTGCACCCCAGTATATGCTTCACCTATGTACTGCAAATACAAGTCATGAAACTTATCCTAGGTCTACTAATACGCAAAACTTACAACATGCACTAATAAATAATAGTAATAATGTCTTCTTACAGACAATATAATAAAGGATAAAAACCCACACTTACGTATTTACGAATTTTACCCGTCTTCTACCCCTCCACACTACCACCTTGAGCTCCCACATCAACGATTGATTGATGAAGATTAAGCCACCCAAAAGGTGGCACGGGCACGAATAGCCCGTAAGTGGTGGGCCCTTTTGAGCCATTACCAGTATCAATAGATGATGCTGGAGATCTGTGGAGGTGCGACTGCACCCTGCGTGACGGGAGATGTCTCCTGTACCCCACATCAACGACGTTGTTGTTGTTGTTATAGATTCAGCTACTCGGAACAAGTTCCAAGCAGCACGGGCTATGGTGAGCTCGTAACTTACCTGGCACAGGAGTGGTGCCGTGATCAACGACGAAAACCCCTGATTTATAAAGATTAAGCCACCCAAGATGTGGCACGGGCATGAATAGCCCGTAAGACCACCCATCTCCACCTCCCTCAAAATCTACCTCCCGTTCCCGTGACAACCTTGCTCCCCCCCCCCCCAGACTACCGACCCCACCCTCCCTCATCCCGACTGTCAACACGTCTTATCTAAACGCAGCCGAGTAGCTCCGACACGGTGCTTACAGACAGTGCTGTGGGTCAGTCGGTGTTCAGCGTCTGAGGAGGAGGGTTGTCCAGCTCGTCCTTCTCACTGATAGTGTGATACTGATACACATTGTAATCCCTCCACCACTGACGACACCGTCTCTCCACGTTCCACAACACCACCACCTCAAAACTATGCTCATCGCAGAGACTCGTTGACATTGGATTCAATTCTAATGCATGTGTTTCAGTACTAAAGTAATCGCTAATAATTTTGTTTGTAAGCATTGAATGCACATTTAAACTAACGACAATGATGTTCTCCAAGCTGCTCTTCCTCACGCTAACCTTGACGCTCCTTCACACCACCACTTCCGCATTCCGATCACCTTGGAGTGTCCTTCAAGACCCTGACCAAGGGGAGGAGCTGGCTGGCCTGCGGGATGGCATGCCACCCCTGCAACTCCTCCCATCCTTCCCCATGCTGCAGGAGGCGCTGAAGCATCAGCTGGAGGACACGTCCTTGAATTCCACCCTTCCCGAGCTTGTTGGAGGCGGCGAGGAAGATCTGACGGAGGGCCTGGGCAGCATCCTGACCGTCTGGAGCACAGTAGAGACGTTCTACGTCCCCAAAAAAGCCAATATAGACAACGAAGAGTGTGCAAAAGACGTGTCTGATAGAGCCTTCCTCCTCAACATTAACAAGTTGTGGATAATGAGAAGTAAGTCTCCTTATCGTATTTGTTTTGTGTATTTTCTTAATTACCGGTATATATGTATCTCATACCTCTAATGATCGCGAGAAATGAACGCAAATACTTGTTAGGCATTTTCAGGGATCACATCATACATTGTTAAAATAGGTGTAACACCTATTGTAACCTTACAGTCAAGCCACAAGATATGAAAGAATATATTATTTGAATCTGGAACCTGGTATTTATGATTAAACCTGTTCTTCCTTCCCCCTCACGGACCAGGTCTTTACATACAGGAGATCCCGAGTCCTCCATTTACCCAGAGGGGCAGTGCAATGGCCCTACGAAGCCCCCCTCTTGTGGTCAGCGTGTGTGTCAGACCGTGTAGTTGGCTGGCTTCGTGCCCCACACTTGTGGTGTACGGTTAACTGGCACATTTCCATTGTCTCTTCTTATTCAGGTTAGGTTTGCCCAGGGGCTGTGGCTTCTGGAGTGGCGACTCGTGTCTGTTTTAGGGGGATTTTGGGGGAGAGAGGGGGCGGGGGTATGTCAGGAGGTTCAGAGGTTCCCGGCTGAATCGTCAGACAGCCGCAGCTGTAACCCGGAATACGGTTAACATTGGGGTACCGGAACCCTTAACGGTGTTAGAGATGTTATTCCAATGAATGCTTTAATGTAATTTAATATTTTCTTGGCCATTTACCATAATTCATAGTATTGGTCTAGTAGGTTGTGCTACCCCTACTGGCCGTCTAAAGTACTTTTTATATAATTGACTTTCAAATGGTATTTCTCTAAATGGTGTTATTTTCATAATCTCTTGTAAAGAAAAATATTATCTTGTAGGATAGGCGGGTCGGGGTCTAGCCCCATGCCTCTCCTCTGCATGAAATGTCAATGATATAAGTTTCCAATCTTAATATATATCAGATATCAAAGGATAATGTGTGTCGTTTTGTCTTATGAAGTTTATTCATTAAAATTCATCTACATTACTGTAGAGGGTTACAGTGAGGAAGATAATCTGGTGAGGGAAGGTAAGGAAGGAATTTACTATCGGTACTTGCCTGTCAGTAATTATAGTGAGGTTTAGCCCTTTATACCCCGCCTACTAGCCCTTTTTGGTCCAGTTGTGTTACGTCTTGGCTATTCTAACGTTCAAAATCTCAGTCGAACCTGTCCTTAAAGTTGTGGATGGAGGTGGCTTCCACGGCTTATGGGTGTATTCCACTTGTTGACCACCCGTACTGGGTACGAGCTTCTTCTTAAATTTTCTCCTCGGCTCATTTTGAGTTTCCAGCTTCTACATGCGTCCTCATTCTTATTTTCTCCCGGTTTATAGAGGATGTCATTGTCCACCGTGTCTATTCTCCTTAGTACATTGTACGTTATCATATCCCTTCTATTTCTTCTGTCCTTCAAAGTTGTGAAGTTCAGCCCCTTCCACCTATCCCCACTGCTTAATCCTCTTTGCTCTGGCACTAATCTAGTTGCAAACCTCTGCACTTTTTTAATTATAGTTTTATACTAGAATTAATTCCACCGGCCTAGAATTATGTATTCCAGGACGGTGTTGTTTATTCCAGTAATGGTCCAACAAAACTAGGGTAGATTGCTTTGAAAGCGTCCCGACCTAGGTTTCTAAATGACTTTTTAGTGTTTGCCAGAGTCGCATATGCTGCCGATGTTACCCTGACTGTGTGTGCCTAACGTGTGGGTGTTGGAGTGATGTTCACTCCCAAATCTCTCTTGATTCCTGCAGTTATCTTTCATTTTTACACCTATTCACATTCTGGTTTTTTCTCTCTTCCCCCATCTTCCTTGCCCCATCTTACGAGGCTTGAACTACTACAACCATTTGTTTGCCCACTGCCTATAACATTCTGCAGTCCTCCTCAGTTTTTACATTCCTCATCAACATGGAATAAGGAATGCCATCATCGTTTTCAGACGATGCCATGCATGAGCTCACTCCCTCCGGTAGATCATTGATATAGATTAAGAACAGTAGAGGTCCAGGACCGATCCTTAACTTGTTACATTACTCCAGCTGGAGACTCGTTTTCTGTCCTTCAGGTCTTCCATTACCCAGTTTAGTGTCTTTCCAGTTATCTCAGCATGTTTCTTGAACATGTACATCAACCTTTCTTGAGAAACTGAATCATGTGCCTCTAGATAGTCAAGAAAAATCCAGTCTACCTTGCCTTCTTTTTTCCCTGTCGAATTCTAGTAAACGTTCCATAGAACTCTAACTTATTCTCTCAAAGTGCTCCACTATTCTCAACCAGATTACGCCAGCACTTTACAACGAATACTTGTCAGTGATATTGGTCTGTAATTTAGTGCCTCCTGTCTGTCCTCTTAAATATTGGGACTGCATTTACCTTTTTCCAGAATTCTGGTGAAGGGTTGTGGAGACTCCAAGTTGTAGTTCCAAGCGAGTTTCCTCTTGGTTTTGTTAACGACTGGTTAACTCTTGCTGTAATTAAAACAAAAAATAATAGCGTCTTATAATTGCAATAATGTAAAACAATATCTCCATACTCAATTATTGATCATTATATAAATAGTTTCTCCATTAACTCTCTGATAATTCAAGATTCTGAATATTACTCTTTGGATAACTTGCTCTTACATCATAATGGGAATCAGAGCAAATTTGTTTAATATCACAGAACTCCTGGTACGAGCAACCTATAAAATTTAACAATGTTCAACTTGCCTGTGTTTGGTAGCAGATGGAAAAGTGTCACCATACACCTCTGAGTCTGCTGGTCAGCATACCTCCCGGTAAATGTATCCTGTAGCATTCTGTCTGAGATGTTCTTATCCTCTTAACTTTCAACCAAAAAGGCTTTGTCTAGTGGATAGTACAGTAATAGTTAAACGTTACAAGATTATAAAGCCGAATAAGCGCTTGATAACCGGCTAAAGCGACTGATGCTTCAGACCCCTCCCCCCCCCCTAGAGAATCCGCTTGAATCCCAGGTTCCATGACATTAGTAACGTATCGTGGTCTAGTAGTTTATGGCTTAAGGCGTGTGCTTGCGAGTACCCAGGGAACAGGTTTGAGTCTTCCTTATAACTCCAACTGTTTTTCTCATTGTTGCTATTCTTAATGCAGCCCTTCCAGGTTATACCCACATTTTTCATCACATAACCAGCTCATCGTTAATTTCCATAATCACTTGCTCTCTGTTTGCCAGCATCAGATTTGAGAACGTAGACTCTGTCTGGTAGACTCTGTAACAAACTGTGTCGTAAAGAACTCTTCGATCACACCCGAGAATTATTTTCCCTCTGAGTTAGCTGTTTATAATGTCCAAATAATTTTCCCAAACTTGAAGTCTCCAGCTCTCCAACAATTCACACACTACAGCATTACGATGCTTTTTTTTCCTCTTCTCCCAAATTAGTTTGATGCTTTACTCTCTAACACCAGGAGGTATGTATATATATTTCCTTGTGGCCAGTTCTTTCATTCCCTCCTTCACTTTTTCCCCATAAGGTTTCTGCACATGACTGATGTGATTTCTATGCAATGCACTACACATCCGCATTCACACTGCAACTCACCATTTTTTCATATTTATTTTGCCTTCATAAAAACCTGTTTTTATTTAGTATTTGATCAGTTGAGTCCTTGAATAGAGGACATGGTGAGGGTCCTTGAGCCCTCACCATGTCTTGGTGAGGTCTAATATATCCAACTCCTTAGTTGGATATAATATTATATCCAACTAATTATATCCAACCAGTGATACGAGGTAATGCACCATCACACCTCTGGAGTTAGTATATAATACTTATAGTCACCTTTTCTCTGCTGTTTTATTATTAAGTATATTATTTTAACTAATTGTTTTGAAATAAAAAATGGTTATTGCTAATTTTATCCACAAAAAGTAATTTTCTTGCTAGAGAGAGAGCGGCCCTGAGACACGTATTTCCTTGAAGAGCAAAATGTCCTGGGATAACGCCATACCACAGAGCATGTTATCTTCAGATTTGCCTCATGTTGAGGAATCGAACAGGGATTTAGAGACTGTCAAAGTGTTACCAACTGTGTGTCATCCTTTGCATATAAGAAATGCATTAGTTTTTAAAACAATGATAGGAAAATGAATTAAAAATAATTAAAAAGCCACTTATATATATTAGTCTTAGGGTGAAGGTCCAAAATGACTTCCCCGTAAGACGGCTGCCTTCTTTTTGAACTGCTCAAAGACTCGAAGAAAAACTGAAATAAGTCTTTGTGTATGACAACACAGTTTACCAAAAATCAGAGTGTTGTTTATTCATGCAAATTTTCGAGCTGAGCATAAAAGCGATACAAAATATTTTGAGAGCCAGAATATTGTGAAGGTGGAGATTCGTGAAGACTGAGGGTAGGACACCAGGCCCGAAATCCACTCGTGTTTGACGAGTGCTTCACCTCGGCCCGTCCTCATAAACAAAAGCCAAATGCTCATTAATTTAGTCCCCGGATCCTTGCATAAAAATCTCACTTTACATGGGACTTATCTCTGTGTCGCACTTAGATGTTCAATGCTGCAAGAATAATCACAAAAAAACTTTATTAACTTATGTACTTACCTAATTGTGGTTGCGGGGGTTGAGCTCTGGCTCTTTGGTCCCGCCTCTCAACTGTCAATCAACTAATGTACAGGTTCCTGAGCCTACTGGGCTCTTATCATATCTACACGTGAAGCTGTGTATGGAGTCAGCCTCCACCACATCACTTCCTAATGCAGTCCATTTGTCTACTACTCTGACACTGAAAAAATCTTTCTAACGTCTCTATGGCTCATTTGGGCACTCAATTTCCACTTGTCCCCTAGTGCGTGTGCCCCTTGTGGTAAATAGCCTATCTTTATCTACTCTATCAATTCCTCTGAGAATCTTGTATGTGGTGATCATGTCCCCTTTAACTCGTCGTCTCCCAGTGACGTGAGGTTTAATTCCCGTAGTCTCTTCCCGTAGCTGTGTGTTCCTTGTTGTGTTGAAACACGGAAACGTTCGGA